TTGGGTGATGTAGACTGCTAATAAGAAATATTAGCAAATGTCTTCATTCTGCTTTTATTTATACTTATTTTTGGGCAAAGTTTAAATGTTTAAAGTTCTTCATTGTGCCTGGATAAAAGATGTTTCCACTTGAAAGTGTTGTTTAAATCCCTAATTTCACAAATCTTTCATTTTGGAAACTGGTAGCAACAAGCTGGCAGGAGATATGGGACTGAGGGAAAGCAAACAAATTCTAATTGCCAGTCATCACCAAGCATTTGTAACCAAGGCAAGCGTATTACAGAAAGAAACAGTGAGCTGAAGTGTAAAGGCAGAGCATCTAAAATTTGAATCTTTTTTCCTTACATACTAAAATCAGTAACAGAGATCAGCTAGTAGCTGCTTCATGAAGAAGGAATTTCTTAACACTGTGTGATTTTTGTCAGTGGGATTGGCTGCCTGGTGGCTTGTCACTTATTAACTGTGAGTAGGAGAAGGGAACCCACATTTCCAAAGCAGGTATTGAAGATTTGAATAATGGCAGTTCTCAGTACAGCCAAGGTTTTTCAGCTCATGCCCTTCACCATAGAAACCCCACTAACCAATTTGTTGACAGCTCTTTCCTATTCGGAATTTTAAACATAATCCAAACTTTGAAAACCAAGCTTTATAAACAGAAGATGACCATAAATATACTTGTTTCTTCTGATTCCTGAGGGAAAATATCCAAAAGTTCTCATAATTCCAGATGCCTTGACCAATGGGATAGAGTGGACACTGAGAATGACACAAAACTCAGGGGCTTTGGGTGTTACATTATTGTTTTTTTCTTCTAATCAAATACACATGTATTAGGGCATGTATAACATGCATGCTCACTTGATGGAATAATCAAAGATTACCCTTTTCCTTCTGTGTTGAAGGAAGGAAACCAATTCCACTGAAGCCCCTGTGAGCTCTGTCTTACTCTCATCTCCTTCAATCCAAAGGCAGGGAGGGACCAGGGTCCCGAGTTTTGTGTTAATCATATCCTTGCCTTTAAAAACAATTTAAAAATTAATTGTTATTTTGCCTTTCCTTATAGTTTTAACACATATATACATATATATATGAATGGTGTTTAATTTGGCATGTTTTAAAACTAAGTAAGAGACTAGTTTTTCTATATTCTTCTAGAATTCACTTTTTGCTCTTCATGTTGACATGCACAGGGATATTTCATTCATTTCACAGTTTTCTCTTGCTGGTAAATATTAATTTTTATTTTCAGTTTCTTTTTTGTTAATTAATGGTGCTTCTATAAAAATTATTTTTTATATGCCTTGTGGTGCTTTTTTCATTGCTGACATTTATTGAGTACTTACTTCATGCCAGGAAATCTTCAAAGTACTTTAAAGGTATTGACTCATTTAAACCTCCCACATCCTATAGGGAGTTACAATTATTATTTTCATTTCACAGATGAGGGAATTTGGTCCAAAGAGTCTAATTTGTATGTTACAAAGAAGTCAGTTCCAGGGATAGGCAAAGGGCAGATAATGTTCACCCCATCAATGCTCATTGCCTTAGCAACCTGTGCAGGAAAATATACACATAAACCATGTGTCCATCTTCCAAGTTTGTGGAAAGCCTCCAGGTATCACCTAATCCAGAGAATGATGGATTCAAAATCAAAGGAAATCTCTTGAGGCTGGGTTAGGGAGAAAATACCTTATCTGCTTCCAAATTTAATAAGTTGCCAGAGATAAAGTTTTAGGGTGACCCACAGACAAATTGGGCAGCTCTTCCTGAGGGCAAAAGGAACCTCCTTTAACTGGTACAAACCACATAGCACCGGAGCCTCACCTGCCCTGGAGGAAGACTTGGAGGTAGTAATGCTTCCACAACCTTAACCCGGCATCTGTACAGGCACTCAGGAATGCAAACGAATGGGAAAAGTAGACGGACAGAAATCTTGCAGCTGCCACAGGCCAAGGAATCTGGAGTAATATCGTTGACCAACATGACCAACATGCTTACCAAAAATTTACAGTGAAAGCAAAGGTTGCCTTCAAGGACCTGCCACTCAAGAGTCAAGAGTTTAGGTGGGGAGGTCAGAGGACTAAGTGCAGGAAAGTCCCACTTCTCAAAGGGCAGCTAACCAGTCAGCTCAGTCCTCCAGCGACTCTGCGAAGGTCATGAGCTTTAGGCAGTAACATTTGTGAGAAGTTTAATAATCTTTAAAGGACTCCCAGAACTTTGTTCTTAATCTAAAATTTGGTTGTTGTCAGACTCAAACATTATTAAAGCATGATGTTTAGAAAAAATAATTCCTAATCTTCCATTTTGATAGCTTTAGTTTGAATGAGTGAGACTCCCTAAAGATAAGTATAGTTAAAAGGGTTATATATTTTTGAGCAAAAAGAACAAATTATGAAAGAGTTGAGTATGATCCCTCTTTTGGGGATGAATATGTACATGTTTCAATTGAAAATATTTGGAAAATTCTACACCAGAGTTTATCATTTAGGAAATATTGATCTTTGAATAAGATTATTCTTTATGGGGGCTACCCTGTGCTTTGTAGGATTAGCAGCATTTTTGGCCTTTTTCCACTAGACACCAGCAGCACCCTTCCCCAGAGCTGTGAATATTAAAATTGGTGCCAAATTGCCAGATGTCCCCTGAGGATGAAAATCACCCCTAGCAGAGAATCGTTTCTCTACCCTAATGAGTTTATAGCCATTCAATCTGGATGGGTATATGACAAGTACATTTTATTCCCCCTCTTTATTTCTAGTAACTATAGATTTAATATATGCACATTTATTTTTATAGTAAATTATAAAAGCTACTACTAAAATACCTACAATTGGATCACTATTAAATAATTATAGGCATATTGTTTTGAGCAAAGTCTTTGAAAAAGTTAGAAGATTTATGGAAGATAAAATGTGGGAAGCCACAAAGGAAACAAAGAAAAACAGTTTTTCCAAATAATTTAGCAAAAATTCATCTCAAGATGTGGAGGTGGTAATGTGTGGGCCAGAAAGAAATTGATTTATGACCCAGGTGCACCGGTCCATGTTGATAGACTCTTCTGTTTGATGTTCTCATTTAACTTACATGCCGGCCATCCTTGTGCACTGGGCTATTCACAGAGTTTGCCTTTGTATTTATTTCCTTCTAGTGGAAGTCAGCAGGGGTCTCTGAACTTTCCCATGTCATCAGATGCGGGGACATCTGTGCCTCTTCACTCACTTCCATCCCACGTGAAAGGTGTGGCACTAAGATTCCCTCTCTTTGTAGTGGTTGTATCTTCATTCACAAAGTTGCATAGAATTTACAGGGTGCTGAGATGGAGCCACTCAACAGACATTTTCAGGAGGAAAACTTACCTGATGTGGAAGAGGCATATGATATCCTGGAACTGAGAATAGTTAGTAAGAGGATGAAGAGAACTTGTTAACAGCCTCAACTTTCACGTCCTCTTGGCCTTCAAGCCTTGGGATGAATCCCATGAGATTCCAGAGATAGTTTTTTGGAATTGGCGAGGCTCTAGCCACAGAGATGACAGAATGCATTATGGCTGCCACTCACACAAACACACCCATCTGAGACTGTTACCTTTCCTCACAGGAAGTCCCTTTCTATGCTCATGATTGAATATACGTGTGTGTATGTGTACATGAAGCAACAAAATAAAGAAACGCTTGATAGCTCTGACATGCTTTGATTGACAAGAGATATAAAAGCAACTAAAATTAGATTCCCTTTTACAAAGCCAGGAAATGTGGTTCAACCACTGAAGGATTTCAATTTGAAGGCATAAAGTGGGAAGCAAATTACTATTGTACTTTTAGGTAAGAAAAACAAAATGAGACAAATTATGCCTTTGAATAAAATAGTCATGTCTAAATGACTTCTCTGTCTGGTGCTGAGCACATGCTCTTAATATTCTTAATAAGAATGATAATAAATGCTTACATAGCACTCAGTACCAGGCACCATTCTAAATGCTTTCTATATTCTAACTCTCCTCATCCACAAAACACCCCTAAAGGAGCTGTTTTCCTTATTCAACACACAAGGTCATGGTAGGACATAGTAGGTAGTCAGTAAATATTCTGTGAATGGAATGAATAAATCAAACTATCGTCAATCACTTTATTTTCTTTTTACTCTTAGTGACGAATCATTCTTCCTCACTTTTGAACATCTTTTATAGTTAGTATATAAATTTGTTCTTTAAAACTGACAGAATCATGTCTAAAAGATTAAAAAGAACAGAACACTCTGGTTAATATAGTTATGCTCTAAATTAAATCATTAGATCAGAAACTGTTTGGATTTGTGGACAATCTCAAAAGACCATGACTCCAGGATCCATCTCTCCTACCAGGGTTGTCTGCCTTTGTCAAAAATATAAATAAGGAAACCTGGCTGATATCTGTTTTCCTGAAAGAGCATCAATGGATTATGAGTTCATGATTAAAACAAATACATATTTAGGTGAATCATAGGTAATTTCTGTCCTTGAAGATCAAAAACAGTCAGATATTAACAGTCTTTTATGGTTTAACTTAATAGTGTGACTGTAGAATTTAATTTTTTAAGGAAATGGTGAAGGAAGTGGGAAGACTTACTGGAATTTAAGTAGGATGGTGCTGTTTTATGGTATGCTACAGCTCCCACAGTAAATTATGTCAAAGCCAAATGGGCTGTGGGTTGGGGCTAGATGGACAGATGTTTCCTCAACCCATATATTTTTGGTAGTCTTTTTTATGTCAGAAAAAAAAACAAAGCAAAAAGCTTTCCGACCACATACAGGAGGAGTATGATACTCATAAAGTATCAACATGGCCACTGAAAGTAGCCGAGTGCCTGTTATATCATGAAGGCCTCTGTCTGATGGATTTACTCTGAACATGAATTATTGTGATTAAACAGTGTGACCAACTCATGACGGACTGAGAGCAATTTATATACTGTAAGTGTCTCATCCTTTTGACAACCAAATTCTAAAAAAGTAGTATTTATAAGATGAATATGGTAAGTGCACAGAATATATTTCTAGAAATGTGCTAGTTAGAAAATAATAAACAAGAGGCCATAAACAGTACTTCCGCCTGGACAAATTCTGCATCCCAGTCAAAATTTATTGCAAGCTTAGTGGGTACAAAGCAGTGAGTCAGCCCCATACTCCAGGTGCCTGTCAGCATTGCTGAGGCCCACACACGTGAACCAATCATCCATACAAGGCAGCATAAGCAAGTGCAATCGGAATAGAGGCAAGAATGAGTAATTCCCACTGACACTGAAAAAACCTGAGTGAACATCTTCTATTCCAGGTCTTTTATCATTCTCATTCATAATTTTGCACTCACAGACCTTGTCATAGCAGGGGCTGGCATGGGAAGTTTGGGCTTTAGACTTCCATTTGTACTGATAGCCCCCATTCCTCCATAAATTGCATGAGATAGGTTGCATTTTCATCCGGTGGCTGGTCCTTAGCCTGCTCCTCATAGAATGTAGACAAAAGGCCCTCCTCTTTGAGCCCCGAGTATCCAGGACCCTCACATCCCTCTGCATCGTGTTCAAGGTTAGGTAAGGAAGGTATACACAGCCTGCCAGTCTGAGGGTCCCAATCAACCAGTGTGGTCAGTGGCTCTTCTTGGGTGCTCTCTGTGGTGTCCATGCACTCCTGTGACAGATGGTGGTCTAAATCTCTGAGTTGAGGGGTGTATGAGCACAGTAGTGTCTGTGGGCCCCAGTCCACCAAAGCTGCCTGTTGCTCAAATAATTTTCCTTGTCCAGACATTTCCTCCAGCAAACTGAGCTCTTGATCTTTCAACCCCATACAAAGGTCAATAGTTCTAATATCATATTCATATTCAATGGCAGTTCTGTCTGTGGCTATTGCTCTGCTGAGTGACTCTTGCTGGGTTAGGGAAACACTGTTGGTGTTTTCCTCAGAGTCACCAAAAATGTCCACCAAGTGTGAAGCATACCCTAAGTGCTTCACTTCCATCTCCTCCACATGGGGCTCCTGATGCCCCCCGGGTTCAGCGTTGCTCAAGTTCCATCCATCATCACTGTTGTCCATTATACTTGTCTCTTTATGAGGAGTTTTAGAATCCTCCAAAATACTGAGGGTGATAAAGTTAATCACAATTTTTTCAGCAGGCACAAAGAATCTTTTGTCAAATTCATTTCCATAAATCAAAATCTATAAAGAGAGAAGAGAATGGTTTTTACCTTTTCACATTAGAGAGATGGTAATAAGCAGCTTGTTAAATGCAATTTATTCAACTGGGTAGTTTTATTAAAGACCTACTCTTACTAATTCATGGAAGTCAAAGCTGGGTTTGGGATATACATGTGGAGGGGAGACCCAAGACCCACGAAATACCTGTAGAAGTAAGAGTGGTTCATTGGGTAAGTGACAATCAGTCCAGGAGTCAAGGCTGACTCCCGTTGTCGAACTGGCTGAAGGGATGTGGGGGATTATTGAATTTTTCAAGTTGGTTTTTAGTTCTGTGAAATCACAATTTCTATAATGTGATGAGGAGTGCAATCATGTGTGATCAATTGTCTGTGAATTTTCCTCCCGTGAAAGGTCTCTTATGTTATTAAAAAGCTCACTCTGAAATGTAAGTACAGATAGGATAATAGAAAACAAACGAACAAAAAAGCCCCTAAAACGGAGCCAACAGGACTGTACACAAACATTATGTCATATGAACATATATTTAATAATTCCCAGAGAAATATTTTTTTTTACTAAAATGTGCTTAGCCCCTGGAAAGCTTTCAGTGGATGGGGAAGAAGCAGAGGGCTTAGTCTCACATCCCTTTGAGTGAATGTATAAGTTCTGGCCATTTTCTCTTAGTACGTTTCCATTTCATGTCTTTGTCTTCAGCGTATATCCCAAACTTCTCTTTCAGACTCTCACTTTCTTTTCCCCGGACAACTGTCTCCTAGCTGCTTTTCTTATTTCTAGTCTTAAATCTCCCACAGTTGTTCCAGACCCACTAACTAGTTGGGTTTAAAATATATTAACCATACAGCCCCAAATCAAAAGCCTACAGAGATTTATCTTTGCCAGCAAAATAAAGCCAAAGCTCTTCAGAATAATACTCCAATTATCTTGTTACCTGGCTCCACTACCCATTCTGGTAACATCTTTCACGCACCTCATCAGAAACCTGATGGCTTAGCAATATTACATGGTCACCCAGACATTTACCTACCTTTGCCCCTGCTGTTTCTCTGCCTGCAGTAACTCTTACTTATCTTTCTTAAATGAGCCAGGCAAGAGCTTCTTATGACCACTGTAGGGTCTCAGTGTCCTCATTCATCTTAGCTTTCAGATATCATTTTGAAATTCCACTTTCCAACTAAACTTGAAGGGCTGGGGTCATGACTTAATTTATCTGTTTATCCAAGACCTACTCTAATCTGATCATTAAATATAAAATCTTTGTCAAAGCTAAGGAATTTTCTCTTTGGTTACATTAGGGAACTAATCTAGTCTAGAAAGTACTTTTTAATTCATCAACTCTTTAACTTTAAACTTATTCTGCCCATAAGAAGAATAGTATCTTTTCTAGAACCTCCTTTGACATCCTCCTGGAGATATGCTGTTATAATAAGGATTCCTGCCACACTTGGCACTCACTCACCAAATTTGCTGGGTGTTTTTCTTTGCCAACATGGATGTATCTGTACATGGAGTAGCCCATCACACAAAAAACGAACACAGTAATAGATGTGGGCAAAATATACCAGAAGATGATTTTAATCTTTAATGTTGAAGTTTGATCTGTTAAAAAATAGATAAAGGAGTGGTTAGATTTAGTGTGTCTGCAAACCTGGAAATGTCAACAGGTTTTGGGCAGATCACTTACATTTAGGAACTCTCATAAATCAAGAAGTTGAACGCTCCCTATCTTTGGCAATAGATGGTCTTAAGGTATCATATGGACTTTTCAGTAAGAATGCATTAATAATCCAACCAGTTGATATTCATAAAAAACATCTGGCTATGAAATTCAAGCTGGTTTTATTTCTAAAGGTTATGTGTCTAATATTTGGGCATCTCACAGCATTTCCCAAACAACAATCTGCTGACAATCAATTAAACTGCCCCACTTTCCCAGGATACTCATTTGACCCAACCTTTCCCCTATACTCAGTAAAGGACAGGAGGGTATGGTGTCAGTCACCTTCTATGTGAATAACAGATCCATCGCCACCCCAGTTTGCCTGACTTTCTGGGAAGGTCTGGATGTTGGTGAAGTATGTAGGGAGGTGGCTGAACTTGTGTGTGCTAAGAATGGCAGTAATGCCTTTGCAGGTCCTGCTATGCTGTAGGTTCATGATGAGTAAAAATTCCATAAATAATGGAGTGATCTGGTGAATAGTTTTTTAAAAAGCAGCCTTGGTCCCCTGATTAAACTATGAAGTTGACAAACAGGGCTCACGGTAAGTAATGTATATTTGTTAAGCTTCTATAGGGGTCCTTGGAATTTGTGATAGTTTAAATGCTTATATCAATTTGGTGAGGCCATAGTATTCCAATATTTGTTCAAAGATTATTCTAGATGTTTCTGTAAAGGCATTTAAAATATTAGATTAGCCTTTCAATTAAGAAACTTGAGTAAAGTGCATGGGCCTCATCCAATCAGTTGAAGGCTTTAATAGAAAAAGACTGATATCCTTAAGGAAGAAAGAATTCGCCAAAAGATTGTCTTCAGCCAAGAGCTTCAACATCAACTCTTCTCTGGGCCTCAGCCTATAGGTCCACCCTGGAGATTTTTGACTTACCAACCTCCACAATCACATGAGGCAACTCTTAAAATCAATCTCTCTGTCTATATCCATAACCATATCTATATATTTCTATCCATATGTGTTCCGCTTCCCTGGAGACCCCTACTACAAGAGTATACAGAAAAGAAGCTAATTCACAAGTCACACGAAGTTCTAGTACACTCCTACATGCTATTATCCAGCCAGAGTGCCATGGGAACATTGTAAGCCATGCGAACTTTGATGCTTATGCCTCAGAGAAAGCAGTAAAGTCATCTAGTTTCACTCTCTAGCAAGAAGTGTCATGGACAGAGAGGGTGATCAACAATATCCCCCTGGGAAAGTCCCACTCCGGCAGCTTCTTCTGCTTGTAGCAATTCCTGAAGAGCAAATTGCCATCAAGTTCCACATAGAAAGATGATGACACCACAGTGCTGGTGGTACAGCATCACCTGTGCCTACTTTAGGCTGCAACTCAGTCCAATCCTCTTAATAAAATCCTTGGTCGCTGGACTGAGCTTGCCCTAATTAAAAAGGGCTGTGACAACAATGACAGACAGCATTTAGTATAGACTAGCATGGGTTTTCCACAAAAAACCTGATAAAGCGAATCTGTATTTTAGGGACTGGAGAACGATGGGGCTTTCCAAAGAATAGTCCCAGGGAGGGAGGCAGGTGGGGCACTGGCACAGGTAGTTTGATAGGTTGTGAGTGTACATATGGAAGAACAAAAATGTAACCCTCAAAATTAAAATTAAAATTGAAAAAAAAAAAAAGAATAGTCCCAAAAGAGGTGAGAGTGATTTTTTTAAAAAGTTGGCCTTGATGTCCATGCTGTGGAAAGGTACCACTGGCGATCTATCAGCTGGGATGTCACAGAAAGGGCCAGAACCAGAAATGGAGTCTTGCTATTCTGTTACCTTTCTCAGCCTAGTGAGATATTTGGCTCTAAGGGATTCCTGGGAGGTATTTAATGTAATATCTACTTTAGCTGCTTCAGCTCTGCCAATTGCTTAAATGATTTCCACTGGAAATTCATTCTTGCCATTTGGCCACCGATCAGGCTGTTAGTAAACAGAGGTCTTTTCCAAATACAGAAATGATCTCTTCAATCTGCTTTGTTGTGCCTTTTGCTTGCTTGGCATTTTAACTTTATTTGGCAGATGGTAGAGAATCCTTTATTTTAAAGGAAAAGGTATGGTAAGGGTAAAGATTCAAAAATACAGCTTTTTGTGTTAGTCCTGGATCTGGTTTTGTATGTCTGGATCTGGTTTTGTAAGTCTGGTTTTGTATGTCTGTATCTTAAAAAAACAAACTATTATTTTGCCAGGCATTATGATCAATTTATATAAAGTCAAATTACAATTGGTATTATATGATGTACTATGGAAGTAAGGACTGGACATGTATGGCAGAGCTGCCTTTTCATGTGGAATTTGCACTCACTTTACAGAGATAATCAAATGAAGCAAAAAGGAATTTATTTTATATTTTCTTGTTACTCCTGGCTTGGGGATCCAAGTTATATTTTTACGTACAGAAATAAAAGTGTTATAGGACAGGGAGAGGGGCAGCCCAAACCCTGCAAACCTGCCTATTCTAAATGGGTTCTGCCATCCGCCGCATCAACACAAAACATAGGACACTTTAATGGGAAGGATCTTTAATAAAAACTAGGAAACAATACAGGTGAGGCAAAGAATCTAGTTTCTAAATGAAGCACCCAAAGTTACCCGTCCCCTCGTGGGTAAAAGTCCATCCAAATGGGATTGGCCCAGAACAAGGCCCCAAAGCCTGCCACAAGTCTAAAGCATCTTCCAGTGGGGACCCACAGAAAAGGGTCACAAACAACTGGACAAGCCCAGAAGGAAAAGAGCAAAATCAACATCAAGATAAAAGCTGCCATTGTCACCTCCCCACGGGTCTCACCCACATCTGTGTCACCTAGTCCACGACCAAAAGACAAGCGCAGTTTCTTCACGTGTCTCTAGGCTCCATGTGCCTCCTCCAGGTCTCCTGGCTCCATCCTGCTTCCTTCCTCAGTCTCTTCTCCAGCTTCTCCTCTTCCTGCTCAGCTCCACCCTCCCTTGGGTGGGGCAGGGAACCTCCCCCTTTCCTGGGGACCACCCTGTTGCAATCCCCCCTTTAAATTTTTATTCCACCACGTTGGGCGCCAAGCTGTTATAGAGCAACCCCGATATTAAACGGGTTCCTGGCTGTGGGTCCTCACCCGCGCGCTTTAAAGGGACTTATGAATACTCTACTACAGACACACGCAAAAGGGTTAATAAAAGGTTTATTTACAAGAGAAAAAAAAATAAGGAAAATGTACAACTCAGGGAGAAAATAGGGAAATAAAGTCTTTAATGCGTCCTACCCGATCCGACGACCTGGAAACCCCAAAGTCACTCTCAGAGCTAGACGGACGCCGCAAGCTGGCCGAGGGCCCCAAAATGGAGAGAGCCCCCAAAGCCCACGTGTCTGCCTTTTGTATCCACCTGGCTGCTTAACCCCACCCTCAGGTCCCAGCCACCTTCCCTTTGGTGGTGATGGGATTTGGAGTTCCCAGTGTCTTTGGCTTTGACCTGGGGTGGGGGTGGAGTCCACAAAGCCTGTATGGAATTTGCTTTGGGACTGCCTTTTCCCCCTAACAAAAGGAGCTATGTTCTGAAAAAAAGCAAAAACAAAACAAAAATAAAGTTTGTCATTTTTGATAAGTGCTCACAAAAATTCCTTTTTATTCCTTAGTAGGCTGAGTTGCAGCCTAAAGTAGGCACAGGTGCAATGTGGAAGGCGAGAGGGAAAGGAAGGCAGGGGACGTGTCGTTCTTCCTGTCCCAGAGTTGGTGACAGAAGTAGGCTTGGGGGAAAGGTGGTGACATTTGTCCTAGGCCAGCAGATTTGGAAGAAAGAAACAGAAAAACATGGCTGTAGAGTTATCCAGTGGAGGTGAACTGGAGGGTTTGTTTTCATTTTTCAAGTTTTAAGTTCTACATCCTCCTACTCTGGGGGAAGAACAATTAAACAAACGTCACTCTCCCAACTCTGCGCCTTCTAACAGGAAGCCACTGTTTCCTGGTAGCCAAGTTCAGAAAATGTGAGGAGACAAAACGAGAAAGAAGCACCTGTAGGAGCGAAGAGAATAATTACTGACCCATCCCAGGCCCTCCGCAGCAGTGACCACATCTGAACACAAGTTGCAGAGCCTGTAATTTGTATTTGGGGGAGCACAAGAGTCTGTCTTAAAGTGTTATAAGGATAATACACTGTTTGTGTGACATAAAATGGATGTCCTTGCAGATTGCAGAACTTCTATGGGCTAGAGAGACTATGAAGTGAAAAAAGAAAAAGATGTGTGTAAATCTTCCTAATTGTGATTTTTTTTCAAGGCAGGAAGCTGTGTGATCTGGGGTGGCTTATTGGCAGGAACACTAGGACTGTGGTGCTGAGAATTCCCTGAGGCGGTGAAAATACTCCTAGTGTTGGCCAAGTTCAAAGGCAGAGTCCTAGACTGTACAGTACATTTCCGGTGATGGCAATTTCTGCCTGTTTCTGTTTAGATACCAATTTGCCAACACTTGTTTGCACTGCCTTACTTCCTTCAGATTTTACCTGATTTCCTTCCTTAGAGCAGCAGAAATATTTTTTCAAACTTACCTTTCAAAGTATTGACGCACTGCCTCTCGGAAGGCTGAGCAAGGCGAGGAGGCCCTGGGATGTAGGACTCCACATGGATGCAGTACAGGGTGTCCGGCTCCAGCCAGCTGAGAACCAGCGTGTGGTTGGTTACACACTGGGACCACTAGGGTGGGGAATTGCAAGCAGAGTTAGAGCCAAACATTCTCCAGAGGGCAAACATTCTCCAGAGGGAAGACGAGACTGAGATAACCTTACATCGCTACTATCACTACACACGCTCTTTTTAGCAACAGCATTAAAATACCCTTTTCTTCCAGGGGCAGATCATAGTTAGGAACTGCAACAATCCAGAAACAATTCAATAGTAGCAATCATTATTCGATAATAAGGACAGATTTTTTTGATTCAGTGCTGTTTTGTGTTCTTGCTAACATTTATTTCTCTCTTTCTTGGAGAGTGACTGACCCATGTTATTCAAATAAAAACTCCCCATCAAAGTGAGGTGAACAAGTTCTCTATGCTTTAACAGTCACATCCCACCCCCATTAACACAGGGTTTCTGTAAAGGAGATCTGAAGGGAGTTTTGTAAATGTCCACATGTCAGTCAGCTGCAGCTGCATTGTATATGGTGTCTCTTTTGAATGTCACATGTTCCTGCATTTCATGCAGAGAATAAACATCAGAGAAGCTACTCAGAGTAGCTGCAAAAAGTGACACAGATTCTGTGCCGCGTTCCATTTCTGTCTTACCGTTCTATTAGATTTAGTGTTATACACAGACACATTGTACTTCAGATTAGAATATATTTGTTGCATGGATATAGAACTTTCTTCTGGATTTTTCTTCCATTTCTCTGGAGCCTTCAGGACAATAGAGATGGATTTCTCATCAGTAGTCAAAGCCACTTCTGGCGGGCCAATTTGTGCTTAAAGTAGAAGCAAGAGAAAGTTAATATGTTCAGAAGTGGAAAATCACCTTAGATACAAATACAATATAATTCTAGTGGGATCAAGGCTCTCAAAGCTACCATGTTATAGACAAAGCCTCAAAACGTGCTAAGGCGTCCAAATCATGCCAAATCTTGAATCATTTATTTCACTTATTCTGATGCAATGTTAAAATAGCAACTTTGAGGGCTGCATTTACTTAGTCACACAGATAAACAGTACTTGATGATGGTAAATACATAAAAATACAGCACTCCTGCGATTGGAAAAGTTATAGTAAATAACGTTGCTATGATTTGTTAAGTGGTAAAAATCGGGCATGGAGCACTAAAGCACCTTCGGAGATGTAGTTGTCACGATTTGGAACAAAGTGTTTAGCAAACAGTAGCATAGCCTGATGTAGAATACCATGGGGAAGTCTCCAGTTCTAGGATCTTCCCTGCCTTGTAAATTTCATTATGGCAGTTCTGTGTGGGTCCTCTATGGCTGAGTCAGTCACAGGCCAGGGAATGGAAACGTTTAAAAAGCAAAAACTAGGAAAATATTACCTTCATTCTGAGTTAAACCTAGAAATTACAACATTATTCTGCCAAGTTCCTAACAAGAAGAAATTTAGGCTGGTGATCAGAGCAGTCTTTAATGAATCTTGTGGCCATGTATCAATGATTTATAAAGCCAAACCACTTTAAAAAAAAATCTGTCAGCTGTTTCTCAATTTATAAAGCTTGCACTAAATAATAAAACAAAATAAAAAATTGATACTAGTAGCACTTAGAGCCATTTTGGGGTCTCAGAGAGATCTTAGAGATCACTTGGCCAAAACTTTCCTTCTTAAGATCCAACTGGGTGAAGTACCTTGGGTTGGCACTCCACCAGCTGATGGAGAGAGAACAGATGGGCTGAGGGAGCAATGGGTTCTCTGTTTATGAGGCTGAGGCGGTTACACCACGAGGTCTCATGGATTTGATATTAATACATGTTTGACAGACAATAGTATTACTTACTTTGTAAAAAAGGATAGAATCGTGCTGTTTCTGCCCATTTGGAACAATTTGTTCCCCAAATGGCTTTAACTCTGGCATAATATTGGTGCTCATAGTCAGAAGTTTCAGCAGAGAGATCACAGTAGGTCTCATTAATGTTTCTACATTCAGATTTATTCATCCATTTCTTTTGCCCATATCTGCTAAGAAAGAAACTGTGAATTAATAATGAGGTGTGCTCTATGCCATATAATAGGAAAAACCCAGTCATTATATAAAACTGAATGTAACTTAAGACCTTCTCTTCAGAACAACAAAAGTGCCTGTCATTGAGATAAAAGAGAATCTACTTTTGCTGCTGGCAATTTTTTTCATTAGTTGTCAGGAATATGAGTCAGAGTTTTTGTAATCACCTTTCTTTTCTGTAAATTATAATGTGGATAGTACATTTTGAAAGCATGTATTTTATCATTATTCTTGGACTACAGGAAAAATTTTATGCATTGTGTGTGATCAATTTGTCTAGTAGTTATCTGTGTAAATTTTTAACTTACCAGGCATACTCAGGTCAGTTTGATGCATTGCTCTTTTTAAAAAATTGTCTTTTTATTTTCTTGCAAGAAAAATAACCTTGACATTATCAAAAAAATTTCAATATCTACTGGTTGTCAAGGGTTCTGGGGAAAATTTGCTACGTTGGAGTACATAACAAAATCTGCATTTTCAATAATTACAGTGATGATGCTATTGAGTAGGTTGTTCATATCAATTTTTCCTTTCTTTTACTAAAAAACACAACACCCATAGACTTACTAAAAACACAACACCCATAGAAAATAGGAGGGAGAAATATTTTCAGCACTTTTCATATGGGAAAGACTGAGGCACAGAGTGGGTGAGTGGGCTAAGCGGCACGTGAATAGACAGTGAAAGAGACCAGGATGCACAGGGGTGGGGGAGGTGGCTACTGAGGGCTTAAGCAGGCATGTTGTGGTTTTAGAAAGCTAAGTGGTGGGCGCCTGGAGAATGAAATGGGTGAGGGAAGGCAGCCTGGGAAGTGGTTAAGAGGATATTGTGGTGGTCCAAGTGGAAGATGCAGGTAGCTTGTGGCAGTGGAATGAAGGACAGAGCAAAACGAAGAAATATAGATAGTCCTGTAGATAGGACCTGGGGATTGAGTGCATTAGGAGATGAGGGAAATAAAGATGCAAGGGGCTGTCTCAGACAGATGGCTGGAGCAGTGGTAACATTTGCCAAGATAAGGAACAGCTGAAAAAGACTGTGCTTGGGAAATGGAGGTAGGTGGCAGAAGGAAAGATAACATTTTGACATGCTTGAGGTATGTGAAAATATTTAAAGCAGATGCCCAGTAGGCACTGGGACTCAGTCAAGAGAAAAGTGTGCGTGGGAGGTTATGATTTTGAAATCAATGGCATCAAATTGCTTATTGAAGGCATAGGAGTGAATGAAATTACTCATGAAGACAACGCCAAGTCTAGGATAACATTTCAGGAGTATCAAGAATTAAAGACTGTACACAAAGTACACTTAGAAATAGCAACTAAAGAGGGAGAAAGGGAAACAGATATTACCCAATTCAGGGAAAGAATGAACACATATTGGGGAGGAAATGGAAGCTGCATCAAGTGTAGCCCAAGTTTAAGGTTATCTTCCTTTTCAGAATATGGTAACCGATTTCTGAGAGTAAATGTCTCTCATTTCCTAAATAGCATATGTAGGGTCAGGAAGACACAGTGCAGGTTTTCTAATCCAGCAGACGGGGTAAAGGAGGAGCCAGAGTCCTCAGTGGTTTTTTGAAGGTCTTTTATTGGGATTTACCCGGTACAGCAGGCAAGGGTGCTGGGGGGCTGGAGGTGGCAGCCTCTCAGCCCCCAGCAAGTCTTCACTCAATCTGGGCTCTCTGGCCTTCTCTCTGCTTCTCTGCTCTTCCATTTGTTCTGCTGCTTCTCGGCTTCTTGGCGTCTCTCTGGCTTCTGCTGCTGCTGGCATCCCTGTGTCGCCGCCCTTAAAAGCCCAGTCTCAGCCCAGGTGAATCCCATCTACCTATGCCCACACCCTACTCCAGGTGCCCGCCATCAGGCTGCATTCAGGACCGCAAGAATCCATCCTCTATCCTGATGGCGGGAGGGCAGAAAAGCCTGACATTTTCCCTTACCCTACACATACCTGACAACATGCTTTGTAAATCTGACAGTAAAATATAGTGAGATCTTGTGGATCAGTTTCTCCATGTAAGGGCAGGAAGGCCACAGTGCAGGTTTTCTGATCCCATGCAGACAGGGTAAAGGAGGAGTTCTGGAGCCCTCAGGGGTTTTGCAGGTCTTTTATTGGGGTTCACCAGGCATATGGCAGGCAGGGGTGCTGGGGGGCCAGGAGGCTGGCAGGCCTCCCAGCCCCGAGCAAATCCGCACTCTCTCTGGGCTCTCTGGCGTTCTCTGCTTCTGCTTCTTTGCTTCTCTCTCAGCTTCTCTTCGGCTTCTACTCTTCTAGGCTTCTTCTGGCATCCCTGTGACGCTGCCCTTAAAAGCCCAGTCTTAGCCCAGGTGAATCCCATCTACCTATGCCCACACCCTATTCCAGGTGTCCGCCATCAGGCATGCATTCAGGACCGCAAGGATCCATCCTCTATCCTTATGGCGGGAGGGCAGAAAAGCCTGACATTTTTCCTTACCCTACACTCCATGTCACCACCATAGCCTACATTCTTTTCCAACTTGTTTTTTAATCTATGAGCTACAGAAAGAAATACATTTTACATTTTGACCCAGCTCACAAAAACACGCACATATTTAAATCTATGTACGTATATGTGACTAAAACAAACATCGGTATTTTCAATTCCAATCCATTGCACACCATTCCAAGCCTTTCCTTTAAAATGAATGCTATTTACGTCTCGCAAATCTGCAGGTCTTGACTTGTGGTTTGAAAAATATTGCCATCACTGATATGATCCTCCTTCCTCAAACATTCTCGGCCAACGGGAGAAGAGCTTCCCATGACAGATAGTGATGAAAAGAAAATGCTCTTTACTGGATTTTGGACAACATGCTTTGTAAATCTCACAAACTGAAAAACATGAATCATTCCATACTTTGCAATTAGGTTTATGCAAGGCAAAAAGTCACTAGTGGTCTTTGATTGTTCTCTGGTTGTGACAGGAAACCTTTATTAAGTGCTTGTTATGTGCGGGGCCAGCACTTAGTGTCTGCACACTTAATCTCACTTAATATAGTAAGCTCACCTATAGAGTAATTCTAGGGGGTAGGGGCCATTATTTTTAACCCTTTTTACAGATGAGAGTACTGAGGCTGATTAGAAGAGGTTAAGAAAGCCATTCAAGTTGATACGACTAACAAAAGATACATCTGGGATTTGAACCACTTTTCCCAATGCCAAAGTGCTTGGTTTTTGTGCTACACTCTATTTTCTGCATTAAGTACTTTGTCAGATGTAATTTAACTTCTGTTAAAATTTCATCTTTGTTTTTTTGGGAAACAAACTGCAATCAAAAATATAACAGTATCCTGTGTGACCTCCCCAGGTTACCTGGCTGAGTTCAAAGCCAGGATGGGAATGAAGGACTGCCTGACATTGGAGCTGAGTCCGGAGCCCTGTCTTCCTGTCCATTGTGCACATGCGCAGGCAGGTTAGAACTCCAACATAGCAAGTTTCTTTTTAAATATCCTCTAAAAAAAGTTGTACAATCTGGAGAATCTGCTTTCACAGAGCAGTGATATTCCACCTATTTTTCTTCTTTTCTGAATCACATAAACACACAAGCAAGCTCTTTGCTCCACCTAATGGAAAAGGAAGCAAGGGCATACTCACTCCCAAGCCACTTCTCTGCACAGCGCTGTCTTTTCTAGAACAACAGCATCTGAGAAACTCCTCAGAAATGAGAATGAGACTCCAAAGAAATGAACTCATTGTGAATAGCAGTTGAAATTTTCAGTGCTTTTAGTAGTCAAAGTTTTTTTTTTTTAAAAGACAAAAATTACTGTTTTTTTTTTTTTTTTTTTTTGGTAAATATGTGTAAGGGCAGGAATGGACCAGTGCAGGTTTTCTGATACCATGCAGACAGGGTAAAGGAGGAGTCAGAGTCCTCAGTGGTTTTTTGCAGGTCTTCTATTGGGGTTACCAGGTACACAGCAGGCAGGGGTGCTGGGGGGCCGGGAGGCTGGCAGGCCTCCCAGCCCCCAGCAAGTCTTCACTCTATCTGGGCTCTCCGGCCTTCTCTCGGCTTCTGCTTCTCTAGCTTCTCTCTCAGCTTCTCTTTTGGCTTCTCCTGCTTCTTTCTCGGTTTCTGCTGGCGTCCCCGTGATGCCACCCTTAAAAGCACAGTCTTAGCCCTGGTGGATCTCATCTACCTATGCCCATACCCTACTCCAGGTGCCCGCCATCAGGCATGCATTCAGGACCCCAAGGACCCATCATCTATCCTGATGGTGGGAGGGCAGAAAAGCCTGACATTTTTCCTTACCCTACAGTCCACCCCCTCAGGGTTTTCTGCCATACAATCTACATATGTACAATTTTCTTAGCAAACATAAACAATGCAGCCATGGCCCACAAAAGCAAATACATTACAATATAACAACAAAATACAACAGAACACCAAAAAGTGCAGGCAGGGCACCAACCTAGTGGCAAAAGACAATTATTGGTACCAGCAGATGAGCCACCAAATCTCCTGCCAAAGGCACTGCTCATATGAGGGAGGGGAACCACTCACGGCATCTACTGTAACACACCAGGAGCCGTGAGGCTTCCTGGCCTTCTCTGGCTGTAGTCTCAGCTACAAGCCACACACAGCATCCATCATCTATCCTGATGACGAAAGGGCAGAAAAGCCTGACATTTTTCCTTACCCTACAATATGGTAACTTAAAAAAACCTCAAACAATCAGAAAAGCATAACCAAGAAAGAAATACATCACCTTGAAGCCCAATACCCTGAAACATTTGGTAGATATGATTCTGAGCATCTTCTATTTATGTATAAAAGGAAGGCTGTTAGATAGTTGAAAGTATAGGCAAAGACTAGATTATACCATCTATGTGCTTATTTATTTATTTATTTATTTATTTATTTATTTATTTATTTATTTATACAAGCACTGGGTACTGTCAGAAGCGCGGGAGGGTGAGAGAATTCACCAGAGCCAGAGTGAAGAAGAGAACAGGCAGAGCGTCTAAGTACATTGCTGAGGGGAGCAGCGGGCGGCAGGAGAGGTCTGCGCACCGTGTGGGACCCTCGCCTGGTGGCCGGGGATCGAACTGGAGCTGCAGAGGCTGCGGGCAGCTTTGCAGCTCAGCACTCAACCGCTGCGCCACCGGGGAGGCCCACCATCGATGTGCTTTTAATAAAAGTAGTAAATTTACCTTGATTTGAAATTTAACAGGAAAAAGAAATTAAAATGAAATTAAAGGCATTTTTGATGTTCAAATGTTACATCAGCATATGAGTTATTAGTTCCTAAAAAGATTGTTTAAATTTAAAATATTGAGTTTAATTATTAAAATGATTTTTTTTTTGGTTTGCATTTTCCTACTAGTGATGTTTAGTACCTTTCATGTTGGCTATTTTTAAAATTGTTATTGAAGTGCCATTATTTTACATTCTTGCTAGCTTTTTCACAGTATAGGTCCCCCCCGCCGTCCCGACTCCTAGGGTGAAGGCACCTCAGCCCACCCTCCACAGAAGCACTGGAAGTCCTCCACCATTTTCATTTTAGATCTAATTTAATGACTTCTTGCTACAAAAATTAGTACATTGTTTTCTCTACCTTCTGAATTATCATATTGCTATGTAGGTTGAAACATGTATAATATAGTTCTATAGTTCTATTTCCCATAACTGTTCATGCTTAATTCTACATTTAGATGGTTTCAATGCATGTGGCCAGTCTTTTGGACATAACTTTGTCATTACTAAGTTCTTTATTTAGGTTCATTTTTATCATTCTGTCAATTGGTTATTTTTTAAAAAAAGATTTATTTATTTATTTATACAAGCACTGGGTACAGTCAGAGACACGGGAGGGTGAGAGAATTCACCAGAGCCAGAGCAGGGAGCAGAACAGGCAGACTGACGAAATACACTGCTGAGGGGAGCAGCGGGCGGCAGGAGAGGTCTGCGCGCCATGTGGGACCCTTGCCCGGTGACCAGGGATCGAACCGGCGCTGCAGAGGCAGCAGGCAGCTTCGCAACCCAGCACTCAACCACTGCGCCACTGGGGAGGCCCCAATTGGTTATTTTGAATCAGTGTTTTTTTCCTTCCAAGAGGGTCTCAGGTGATTAGAAACCCAAATTTCCAACTACTTGAAAATACATCTTGAACTTGGTAAGATTTTCTGGTCATACCTGTTTTTCCCACTGTCTTCTTCTTATGACTGACAACTAGAAATCGCCCTCCAACCCCCACTGCCCCACTTGAGTTCTTAGTTTGCTATAATAGCCAAAAATCATTCAGTTTTCTTAAACTACCAGAATATGTGTTGTTATAATGTTTACTGAATTTTCCTAGACATAGGAAATGTATTTATTCATGCATTCATTTATTGTATGCAATTCTAGTCCTTAGTATCTATTCGACTATTACTATCAATTAGTTAGTTATAGCAGGTGTTCATTTCAATATAACACTTTCATTTTCCATCTTTTCCCAAAACTTTACCCACTTCCTTTAAAAAATGATCTTCCTATTATTTTAGTATCTCATCTTTGACTTACTGTTGGGTTTTACCATTAGAAACATGTTGTTTATAGACTTCAGCTATGGACAATTATTTGTCTGAATTTTTTTCTCCTGTATTCACAGAAAATCTTTTCAGGAGCTTTTAATTTATACTCCACCCCACACCACCCCTCTCTCGTGCAATAATTATGGATATGTGCTCCACTGGTTTCTTTGGGACTATTACTCTTTGAATGGCACCAGCTGTTTGGTGAATATTAGACAATTGGTTATAGGAGAGAGAATATGTCACCCTTACCCACTCACCTAATCTTATTACTTCCCTCCAGGGAGACGAAGCACTCAGGTTTTGGACTGCAGGAGGCTAACGTGGTTCACAGCACACCCATCAGTTCATGACCATCGGGAGCTGCCTTCGACTACTGTCATCCCTCTTTCCCCATATCTGGTTCACTCCAGGCTCCTTCCTGGGCTGCCACTGGACCTCTTCCATGGATTTGTCACTTGAGTCTGACTTCTTTCATACTTCCTCCTCTCTCACATTGTTTGGCACCAACCCAGGGCTCCCTGGACACATTTCCTCAATTTCTGGAAGCAGAAGTTCTAGAATTCCACATCCTTTGCTTCGTTAGGTAAGTCTCTTAGTTCTGTGACATTTTTATTCTTGTGAAATTATTATCTACTGTTGGATTTTGAGACGGTGTAAGTTTGCTTTCAATTTCTGCATTGCTTTCTTTCAGGTTCCACAGTATTTGTCACATATACTTAAAACTTGTGGCTGTTTTTGTCATTCTTTGAAGACAAGCACTATCTGTTCTGTATTCTTTCTTACTTTCAATGAGACTATATCTTTCATAAGGACAGCTAGTTGCACAGGATGGGTTCCTCGTTTACTCGGTTATAGAAGAACATTTTTACCAACTTCTTTTCTCTATTTAAATAATTCCCTCTTGCTGAAACACTTAACTGCTGCCATCTACATGAAAAAACTTTTAAAATCTAATTTAACGTGGGCCTCCCCAGTGGCACAGCAGTTGAGCGCTGGGTTGTGAAGCTGCCCACAGCCTCTGCAGCGCCAGTTCGATCCCCGGCTGCTCCCCGGCCACCAGAGGAGGGTCCCACATGGCGCGCAGACCTCTCCTGCCGCCCGCTGCTCCCCTCAGCAGTGTACTTCGGTCCCTCTGCCTGCTCTGCTCCCCGCTCTGGTTCTGGTGAATTCTCTCACCCTCCCGTGCTTCTGACTGTACCCAGTGCTTGTATAAATAAATAAATAAATAAATAAATAAATAAATAAATAAATAAATAAATAAATAAATAAATAAATCTTTTTAAAAAAATCTAATTTAACGAAAGATAAGAAAAAGTTGACATGAAATATCTAAAACTTTTCTTCAAACACATATTTTATACACTAGATGGTTCAACTTTCATAATTAACAGGAGTCTGAGGTTTGTGTTTGTAAATTAGCCAACAGGAAAGGAACCAACTTACATGAAGTACTGCACGGTATAAATAACTTCAGCTCCTTGCAGGCCCTGTGGGGGACTCCATTGTAGGATGTTCTTCATGTTTATGGATAAGAAGGTAATATTTGTAGGTTCAGGCAAACCACCAGAGACACAGGGAACTGAAAAAGAGTAGAGAGGAAGCAAGATCTTAGTTGAGAAAAAGGAAAACAAAAAATAAAAAAAAAAGGAAAACATAACCCTGGGACTGCTAGACTCCAGATATGGTCTCCAGTGACTCTCACCTTCCAGCACTCCTGCTTTTGTACTCCTCCCAAACTAGCCCCCTTCTTCCAACAGAATGAAGCAGAAGTGACCCCAGGACCAAGCCTTAAGAAGGTCTGGGAGCTTCCACTGTTACTCTTTTTTTTCTTTTTAGTATTTATTTATTTATGCACACAATAACTGGGGTACAGGCCAGAGGTATGGGGGGGTGAGAGGATTCACCAGAGACAGAGGGGGAAGCAGAACAGGCAGATCTACTGAAATACACTGTTGAGGAGAGCAGCAGGCGAGACAGAATAGGTCTGCTGCACTATGTGGGCAGCTCCCTGGCTGGGGATTGAACTCATACTGCAAAGGTTGCAGACAGCTTCATAGGTTACGTCTTAACCCCTTGCACCACCAGGAAGGCCCCCCACTGTTACTCTTTTGAAAGTATGAGCTGCTATGTAAAAAGTGGGGCTACTCTGTTGGAGAAACTATGTTAAGAGACTACACAACATTGTCCCAATATCTTAGTAGAGCTCAACCTTTCAACCAAGGAACCAGAAAGAAGCCACTGTGGACATTCTAGCCTCATCACCATAGACTGAAACTGCATAAAGACTCTGAATGAGAACAGCAGAACTATTCAGCTGAGCCCTAATCAGTCTCAGAATTGTGAGAAATAAAATGTAAGATAGATATGCCTCAAGGCAGAGTTTTGGAGGTTATAGCTGAGATTGGTTTTACTAGAGTATGTAATAAAACAGCAATTAGAAAGGACCAGTGAAAGAAAAAATTATTTAATTAAATGCTGATATATTCATATAACTGTATCCTAGAGGATTAATTTTTTTTAAATCCTCTGTAGAAAAATGATAAATTGAGTGACTGTCAACAAATTAGAAAAAGACAAAGAGGGGTAGAGGATAGTTTCTTATGTGAAAAAGAAACAAGGATGCTCCAAATTAAAATAAAGGAAAAAATTCAACGGTGCCATATAAGAATCACAAAATTAACTTAAAATGTTGGAGAGATCACAAGATACTGAGTAACAAATAATCAGATTTTATGAAGAATCATTTTATCATAAATATGCATATTTCAGTCAGTGAACTTAGAAAATATCAAATTCTGATACTGAAAATAAAACAGGAAAAACATTTAGTTAAATCACTGAGGGATGGTCCAATCTGGGCTGAAGTCCAATAATTCTTATGTAAATTAGCTGAGACTAATGCCAGAGAAAGGAATTAACTCTATGCTTGGGGTAATCCTTGGCTAAGATTAGCACTATATAATATATTGTGTAATTCCACAAACCAAATGAAGAGAAAGAAAAAAAATTCTTTACTTTAGAATTAAACTTTATAATATGATGCTGATTCTAAGCCAAAATAAGCTCTTAACCATGTGGCAGAGTAACCACAGCATAAGAGATTGAATGTGCATTTGTGTGTATGCATGAGTTATAACAACTCCCACTTTTAACCTTAAACATTTAGGATATTAAGTTTGATTTTGAAGAAGAAAGTTAAATACAGAAAAAGAAGCACATTAACTGATTGCTGGGTGAGTACAGGTGTGGCAGGAGTAGTGAGGATCTAAAAAGGAAAGTTTGACAATGTCCATTTCTATTCTTCTAATATTTCAGAACCATGTATATCAACTGGTATTGGTATTTTCTAGAGAAAACACACAGTAAATAATTGCTAATGATTTAATATTGCTCTGTGCTACCACCAGATTCTAAATTTTAATCATTTTTTAAAAATAAGGTTACATTGGTCTACAACATTGCATACATTGCAGGTGTATGGCTTCACACTGCCATAATTGTATACACCACACCCTGCGCACCACCAAAGGTCTAGTTATCATCCACCATAATCCAACCAGCCCTCTCTACTGGTTCCACTGATTAGATTTTCAAAGATGATACAAGCATGTAAGGAGGCAGCCTGTAGCATAAAGTAAGGTATTTTCCAACCCTTTAAAAGTGAAAAACATAAAACATAAAAAAATTCCAAGGATCTTTCCTGATCTAAGAAAAATGTGGTGGGCCTCCCTGGTGGCTCAAGGGGTTAAGCACCCCATCATGAAGCAATCCACAGCCTCTGCAGCACGAGTTCGATCCCTTGCTGGCCAGGAAGAAACCCAAATGGTGCAGCAGACCTCTCTTGTCTTGCCCGCTGCTCCCCTCAGCAGTGTATTTCAGTCAGTCTGCATGGTCTGTTCCCCACTGTCTCTGGTGGATCCTCTCACCCGCTCACAACTCTGGCCTGTGCCTCAGCTCTTGTGTGCATAAAAAAATAAATCTTTTTTAAAAAAATTAAAAAAATGTGGCTCTACATTTTAGGTGATACTAATGTGCAGAATGATTAGCATTTTATAAGACTAAAATTTAATAAATGCATTATAATATCATGGATGGAAATCTTACCAAAAGACTACAGAACTAATTGATAAACACCTAGAATATTCTGGTCTCTGGTGACTAGAGTCTGAAGTTATAAAACACAAGTTATCGGGCCTCCCCGGTGGCGCAGCGGTTGAGCGCTGGGTTGCGAAGCTGCCCGCGGCCTCTGTGGCGCCGGTTCGATCCCCGGCTGCTCCCCGGCCACCGGAGGAGGGTCCCACATGGCGTGCAGACTTCTCCTGCCGCCCGCTGCTCCCCTCAGCAGTGTACTTCGGTCCTTCTGCCTGCTCTGCTCCCCGCTCTGGCTCTGGTGAATTCTCTCACCCTCCCGCGCTTCTGACTGTACCCAGTGCATGTATAAACAAAACAAACAAACCAGCAAACAAATAAATAAAGCATGCCTCTATAAAAAAAAAAAAAAAAAAAAAAAAAAAAAAAAAAAAACACAAGTTATCTTAGATATTATAGTTCAACCATATTTTCTCAATGTTATCTACATTGGTAATCTTATCCTTTACAACATTAGTTTCTATTTGTCTTCTAATATTAGCAAACAATTGACAGAAATCTCCAGGTTCCTAAAACATAGCCAAAACATGTTAAAAAATAACTTAGAATAAGACAAATGGATTCCTCATTTTAATCTAACTTAATTCAGTTTCTTTTTCTGTCATGAGGAAATAAAGGAATTTGCTCTTCTGAAATAAAGTATACTCTAGAATGTCACTGATTTGACATTATGATTGATGTTTATAGTTGTTTTAAAGATTTTCTAGAAATGCTATGCCAATTAAAATGTTACAAAACTCTATTAATAATGGGTTAAAGGGAATTAATAATATGGCAAGAGTAAAACATTAAATAATTTTCTCATCATGCCGTTTTATTTTTTAGAAAAGGAAGAAAATTTTATTATAAATGCTGTGCAATATATATACATCTTCTCACCAAGCCTGCATTATAGGTAACTCATAGGTAGCACTATAGTTTTGGTAATCAGCATCTAATGGCGCTCAGTAATCCCCACCTTTGGGGCAGTCAGAGCTTGTATAGTCTTTGCCAACATTGTGGGTTGGTCTGTGTAACCTACAGAATATGATACATCATTTCCAGGTTTAGCTTATAAAAAAACATGGTGGCTTCTCTCTTGTTCTCTCTCTTGGATCATTCACTCCTAGGAAGCCAGCTGTCTTATGATGAGCAGCCCTATGGAGAGGTCTATGTGACAAGTAACTGATGACTGCAACAGCTGGTAAAGCATTAAATGTCAAGAGGCATGTTGGTGAGACTCACTGTGGGTCCTCCAGCCCCAGTTAAGCCTTTGGATGCCTGCAGCCCCAGCCTGCCTCTTGACCACACTCTCTTGAAAGACAGTGAGTCAGAACCACCAGCTAAGGCACCATGGAGCTCCTGACCCTTAGAAATTGTGTGAAATAACATTGGTTGTTTTAAGCTGCTGAGTTTTGAGATAATTTGTTACAAAGCAATGGATAATGAATACAACAAAGAATCTGAAAATGAGAGAAATGGAGAGATTAATCACTTGAAAAATACAAATTAGACTGAAGGAAGGGAACAATGCCTGCAATTCCTAATAATGTTATAAATAGAACTCCCTTTCACAAACTTGAGAAATGTTCTTTTTAATAGCTTGATTTTATTTTTATGAGGAAAATTAAAAATACGAGAAGTCTGGAAATGAATTAGCCTTTTAGTAAACAAGATTAATAACCTATTAGCTTTTAAATCTTTTTTTTTTATAGAGGCATGTTTTTTATTTATTTATTTATTTATTTATTTATTTTATTTGTTTGTTTGTTTTGTTTATACAAGCACTGGGTACAGTCAGAAGCGCGGGAGGGTGAGAGAATTCACCAGAGCCAGAGCGGGGAGCAGAGCAGGCAGAGGGACCGAGGTACACTGCTGAGGGGAGCAGCGGGCGGCAGGAGAGGTCTGCGCGCCATGTGGGACCCTCCCCCGGAGGCCGGGGAGCAGCCGGGGATCGAACCAGCGCCGTAGAGGCCACAGGCAGCTTTGCAACCCAGCGCTCAACCGCTGTGCCACCGGGGAGGCCCAATAACCTATTAGCTTTTAATAGCAATGATGATTACAACTTTTTGGACTGTTTAAGAGATACTTAGTGACGGATTCAGAGTTGTAAGCACCTTGAAAATGGATGTTGCTGTTTTCTGAACACTATTTTGGGGAAAGAATATTTAACTATTTTTGTAGAGGCTTCATTTGGATTGACATTATCATTTTGATTGCATATGCAGAAAAAATATCAGTTTTGGATTATCCTCTTGTCAATAAATCAAAGTATTATTGTGGGATGGCCCTATCATGATAAAGGAGATCACATCGTGGTACTCGCCTATCTCCCCAGAATACAAAACTTTATTATGGCATGACCTGCTAGTTTCTGAATCATTTTCAAAATTGCAGCAAATTAGACCAGGTAGTCTTCTTTCTAGACATCTTGTCGCTCTGGTTTTTGAA